GGCCCGAAATCGATATCAGAGGCTTGTGATCCGTCACAAGCGTGAATTTGCGTCCCAGATGTACTGGTAGAACTTCTTGAGGCGAAGACGATAGCCAGGGCTTCTCTGAATCTGGCTGTAATTTCGCTGGACTTGTTAGAGTCTTCCGACACGTTGGCAATCGGGCGCTGCGCTCCCGTCCTGGTAGGCGATGAAACAGTACGGCTCCGATTCCGATTCTGATGCGTCTGTAGCCAATGGCAGCGGTAACGAAGGATCATAGTGGGCTAGAACGTCGTCTGCCCGTAAGCATGTCTTCAGCGTCTGAACGCTTTCTTCTCCTCGCCTGCCAAGTGCCAAGGTACGTCTTTCTTGGTTAGGCGGTGCAAGGGCTCGGCTACCATCGACAGGTCGCCTAGGAACTTTCTGTAGAACTGGACGGAACCCAGGAAGGATGCGGAGACCCGACACGTTAGTCGGTTCCGGGCATTTGGCGGACGGCATCACTTTTCGGACCCTTCGCAATTCCATTCCTGGATAGCGAGTCCAGGTACTGCCACGCTGGGTTGTGGCGAAGTGGCACTTTTCCAGCCTACATCGGAGTCTTCCGTCGTTGAGTCGTTGCAGGAGGCGCTGGAGATTCTCCACGTGGTCGTTTGGGTCCTTGCCGCTGACCAGTATGTCGTCCATGTAAACGCAACGCCCTGGAGGTCACTTGTCAGCTGCTCGCATACATCTCCTGGAAGTACCCGGGGGCTGACTTTATCCCGAACGGTAATCGAAGTTGTAGCAGCACTCCCGGTGAGTGTTCAGGCCTAGCCGTCTTTGACTGAGCGCTGGCTAGTTGAACCTGATTGTAGGCATCTGCGAGGTCAATCTTCGTGAAGCCATATCCTCCTCCCAGTTTCCGCATCAGATCGTCTGGGAGAGGCATCGGATGACGATGTGTTTCCAGCTGGGGATTGACCGTCACCGAATAATCGCCGCAATACCCGTATCTTTGGGCTTCGGTTTGCGCAGTGTTATGCGTCTTTCGGACTGGAACCACGGGTGTGCCGTAGTCGCAGAATTGCACAGGCTTCCAGACTCCTCTTTTGATACCATCATCGTAGGCTTTGCCCAGGTCCTCCTGAAGCGCAAATGGAACCGGCCTCGCTTTTCTGAAGATCGGCTGCGCATCTGGTTTGAATTTGACTCGAGTTCAAAAATCCTTTAGGCACCCGAGTTCGTCTTTCACAGGTCTGGGTACTGGTCGCATAGCTTTCGAAGGCGGCCTGAAGCCGTTTGTCGTCGGAGGTCGTCGAAGACAGCGTTGACTTCGCGTTTGCCGACTGCATTGCGTTATCGAGCGAGATGCCAATCGATCCGTTGCTGCCCTTCCTAGCAGGTTTAGGTCTGGAACCGTGGAGACGATGTAGCGATGTCGTGCTTGAATCCTGATCCCGGTAACGTGTAGTTCCGGTGAATGTACCCAAAACTGGCAGGTCGTGCTGCTAGCTGACTCGAATCGCCACTTCGGCTTCTCCAGCTTGGTTTGCCCAGCTTCTTCCAGAAATTTTCTGTGACGAAGTTTCCATTCGTCGCAGTGTCGATCTCAACGACGTGGTTGATCCCTTGGATTTCGATCGCGCACTTCCAGCTTGGGCATTGATCGTCGTCCGCCATTACCATGTTAACAGCAGCTCATGGGTAATCTGCTTCACAGGGTGTCTGGCATCCCTGCATTTCTGCATGCAGGCCGGTTCGATGTGACCCTGCTTCTTGCAAAAGTTGCAGATGGCGTTCTTGAAGCGACAATCATTGGCTAGGTGGTTGTCCTTGCCACAGCGGTAGCACTTGAACTTCGGTTTGGCACCCCCTTCCTTTGGCGACTGGGCTTTCTGGAAGGGCTTGTGCTCCTTGACCTTGTTCACGGGGTTGGACTTCGCACCGTAGACTGTCTCCTTGGCGACGCGGGCGGCATCCTCAGTCTCGATAGCAATGTTCACTGCCCGGGCAAAATCCAATTCATCGCCTTTGATCTTGAAGAGGGCCTTTAGGACTGCCTCGTTGCTGACCGAACAGATGAATCGGGTCCGGAGGGCTTCATCCTGGGGGTCCTTGATCGACGTGAAATCGCAGGTAGCTGCGTCTTGGCGTATCCGAGCAGCTAGTTCCTGTATGGTCTCGCCTGGTTTCCGCTGCATTTCGCTCCAGAGAGCTTGAATCGTTGCGGACGATGAATCGTTTCGCGATCAAATTGGTCCTTCATGTAGGTAACGATCTCGTCCACGTAAGCTGGTTGATGTCTTGGACGGGGTATGCTGTGCGGCGAGATTTGCCAGAAGTTTGTAGACCGTGGGCGACTGGTTGGTGAGGAATACTTGCCCTTTCGCCTCATCAGGCAACGGAATTGGCCCCGTACGAAGGTGCAAAATCTGCGCCAATAGTCTGTCCACAGCTCGACGGTGGAGCAAAGGGGGCAAAAGCAGTGTAGAGGAACCCACTAGTGACGTGACGTTGGGGACGTTGATGTAAAGTGCTTTGATCGCGTCCATCTGTTCTTGATGTTGACGACGAATGTCCTTCCTTTCACGGTCCGAGTCCTTCTGTTCACGTTCCGAACGCTCCCTCAATTCCGCCATCTGGTCCCGCAGCAGCTTGATCAGTTCCGCCGTTTCACGACATCTTGGTAGGTCCGTAGCAACTTCGGTCTTGACGTGTGAGTCTTGACTTGGCTCGCAAGCTGACACGAGTCGACTGCGCCAATTAACTCTGTTGTGTTTCTCACAAAGAGTCAATAAATAAATCGTTGATTGTACAACAATAGTATCGTTTATTGTACAGCACTAGTATCGTTTATTGTACAGCGATGGTATGGTACGACGATAGGAGTTGCATAATCGCACACTATCTGTGATTAGTCTCTATAAGTTTAGAAAACGGTTCTTCGAAAGAATCCTCGCTGAGAGAGAGAGAGAGAGAGAGAGAGAGAGAGAGAGAGAGAGAGAGAGAGAGAGAGAGAGAGAGAGAGAGAGAGAGAGAGAGAGAGGGAGTGAGTGAGTGAGTGCCAAGAGCGAGAGCACATCTGCGGCTGTGCTGTGGGCGTCTGGAGATATGCGTTTAGCGAAAGATGTTCGCGCGTTCTGACGTCGGCTGCATGCAGTCAGCCGAGGCAAGGCAGTAATTTCCTTTCTTCGCTTTAGTATGCTGCGAAAAGGATTTGGCTGCTGATGGAAAAGGCAGCCGTAATTTCCGCGTCAGTTGTCGTTGACATTTTGACTGACAAAGAAAATATTAAATCCATTTAAATTCGTCAATGGCAGCGACGGCGTCTATGGGACAGATTGAGCCTAGGGTGAATTCAAGGCCTGTTCTCTTGTCTCGCTTCTGTTTCTGGCAGCTGGCGACTTTCCCATACGCCATGACAATTTGATTAATTTATTCGGAATGGGTAATAGCCTATATTGTTCATTCGCCAATAGGAAATATTGATACGAACATAATTTACATTGTTCTGATTCATAAAATGCGAATTTTGCTATATTAGTCTCTTCAAACGTTAATATTTTAATGTTATCATAAGTTGAAATACTACAATAGGTATGCGTAATAATGACATAAATTGTGTAGTTTCTGATGTCAGGTTTATCTAAGAGTATGTGAAAAAATATTATTGCCTCTGCAATATCCGGATAAGAGTATTGCAAGAGAGCGATTCGAATGTATCACAAGATGCATGTGCGTGATAGTGTATAACCGCTCTAGGTATGCGCAGACACAGATGGTAAAGTGTAGAATTAAAAAATGGTAATAGTTGCGCGTTTCAAAGTTGGGAACCCTGGGGAAATCAAAAGGAGGAAAAACAATATACCACCCACGCTTCCATTCTTGAAACTCTCTGGATTGATGGCCTTCTCGTGCATACGTTTTCTTCCGCCTCGTAGCTACCGATTAAACAAAAAACAGCTAATCTATTTTACTCGCCGACAAAAACAGCTAATCTATTTAACGACCCAAGGACGCTTCTTTTCCTAGCCGTAAGATGCGCACACTAAGGTTCTTTTCCGGTGGACGTCGCTCTCACGCGTACAGCAGCCGGAGCATTTTACAGCTCTCCCAAAAAATCAATTGCGGCGCGCGAGGGCGCTGTGAGCGTCAGATCGGTTCGGGGCAGTCCCATTGATCGCTCACGACTAGTCTCAATCGATTCACAGCTTTGAGCTGACTGGACATCCGTCATTATTCGGGCAAAACCTATTACCGCATTACATATTCGATAGGTAATTACGAGGTCTCTACATATATGCAAAAAAACACGCGCCGAGAACGGAATAATGCGAGATTTAAATGTGGATCGATGAGCGACGCCTGGGGAATCGCGGCCACGCATTTTAATTGCGTGTATGGTTAATTGCGAATTTTGCTATAAAACAAAACAAAAAACGTAATCGGGGGTGGGGGGATGACCGAGTCACCGTCTACAATATTGTAGGTAAGGCGTTGTGCAAGGTGTGTGTTTGTTGCTGCAAGGTTGTACAGGTATTGTGTTCAGTGACGACAGTTCTCTGTGAGATTAAAAGTGGCGAGTCTCGAACCCCACCCACTCAGAACGCTGCGGTAAACTTTACCCTTTAACCTATACTAATTCGAGCTAATTTCCACCAATCCGTGCATGCCCTGCAACGGCAAGCAGTATTGCTAGACTTGTTTTCCGTCTTTTTCCTGCTTAAAAGCGACCGAAAATCGGTAACAGTAGGTGGCAGCAGAATTCCAGGGCGTAAGTGCGGATATTGATACCCCCACCATTAAACGTGGGTTTGCCCAGAAGTCACCGCATTCACGAACGAGTGCAACAATTGTTGACAGGATTCCTCAGTCAGAGATGTGACCAATGTCGGAGCGTATGTATACGCTACCTCTAACCATTAGTCGTCGTGAGCGCCACCTCAAACCGATGAATGGCGGCTATTGCTTCTCATTTGAAAAATTCGAATTGTTTAGAAAACTAATTTTGCCGCTGTTGCGTTTTTCGCAGGACGGGAAAACGTTATTCGATGACGTCACCGCTGGCATTTACGGAGACGGGCTGAAGCGAGTTTTTGGCAAATACAAGGTGCGTATGCTACGCGCGCGCGCGCGCGCGCGCGCGTGTGTGTGCGTGTGTGTGTGTGTGTGTGTGTGTGTGTGTGTGTGTGTGTGTGTGTGTGTGTGTGTGTGTGTGTGTGTGTGTGTCGTGTGTGTGTGTGTGTGTGTGGGTGTGTGTGTGCGTGTGCTGTGTGTATGTGTGTGTGTGTGTGTGTGTGTGTTGTGGTGTGTGTGTGTGCCGTGCGGTGTGTGTGTGTTGTGTGTGCGTGCGTGGCGTGTGTGTGTGTGTGTGTGCGTGAGGTGCGTGCGCGGCGTGCGGTGCGTGCGTCGCGTCGCGTGTGTGTGTCCGCTGCGTCGCGTGCGTGTGTGTGGGTGGTGTGTGTGTGTGTGTGTGTGTGTGTGTGTGTGTGTGTGTGTGTGTGTGATGTGTCGTGTGGTGTGTGTGTGCGCCGCCCGCGTCTAGCGCGCCCTCCGACGGTGCCACTTCCAGCAACCGAATCTGCGCCTGGCAGCGGGTTACCAGGTACTGATGGGCCACACCGCAGCCGTGTGGCGTATGCGAATATCAGCGAACGCACGAAACCGGATTGCTATAGCGTAATTGGAAGTGGACAGTGCTCTTTCGTTACTTTGTACCTGTAGGCATAGCTCCTGTCCTCAGGATAGCGAATTGACCATGCGGTTAAGTTTTCATATGATTGTGATGTATCAGCCTACCCGCGTGCTGTGTGGGTGAAACAGAATCTCTTCGAGGGAAAACGGCATTACCCTCTTCCGGTGACTGATGTAAGACTACGGCCAAGTGATGTCCCGCCATCTTAGCCGTCCAGACCTGTGGAACTCAGACCGCACCATCCACTTATCCACTGTCATTCATCAGTTCGCCTGTCAGGCCGCTTTGTCGATTCAATGTAATCATGTAGCAACAAGTAAGTAAACTTATATTCTTTGCTTAAAAAAAAACATACTCACCTAAGTTCATAGGTACGGAAATGGTATTGAACTGCATTATTAGAGCCTGCACTGACGTTCAATGTCATCGGTACAGCAAATGCAGTCGTTTATTGATATCATGTCTAGGGTTTTACCAACAACGTCTAAAAGTTTTGAGGAAAGTTTATAAAGTCACCAAAGTGCTGGTACAGAATGATAAGAGTGCATTGATCTAAGAGGTAAGAATTGAGCCACGTAGCTAATAAACGAGAGGACAATGCGCATGTGTTCACGATTTGGAATTCGGGAAACCGATCGACAGCTGGTGAAACCAGCTCCGCCGGCGTTGGTTCTCAAAGGGATCTACTGTCATTGCATGTCTATGTGAGTTCTGAGCCGTCCTCTCCCGCATTTCGAATCGCACGAGTGAACACGTGGGCGTATATATCGGTCATATCAAGAGCGTATAAAGAGAGGAGCAGCGTACGGAAGCGGTGAAATGCTGAAACCCATGTTGCCAGTACCTTAGTCGAACTATGACAACTTTCCGCACTTCCGCCGTATTAGTTTTGAGCAGATTCTTTTGCAGTAGTTATCTGATCACTGTCCTAGCTTTGTTAATATAAAACAACCGCATGCCCTACGATGCCTCTACGGCTGAGATAAATGAGCGGTGAAAGATCTGGTATTGTTCGTCCGAAACGCGACTCGAGATCAGTGTTTATGCAACTGTCTGCTCGTTTTGTGGACTGTATGTTGCTTCCGGGTCGCCGGCTTGTGTACGCGCTGCCTCGATACGTTATTACTACAGGCGTTACTACATCCAGCGTGAAGAGGGCGGATGCATCCATGCCATGGCGATAAATAACAAGATCATTTTTGTGGAGTAATGGCTGCGTCAATGACTGGAAATGCGTAAGAAAAAAATAGATAAAAGGAAGCAGAATTTCATTGTCAATGAATGACGGAAACAACTTCGATGTTTTGCTTAAGCTATCGCCAGAACGAGAGACAGTCGCACCACATAGTATCTCGATCGGTTTCGGCAAAAATAGCGCAAAAAGATTTTCAAGCGCTTTATTATCTCAGCAAGAGGCATCGTAGGGACAAGCCGGTTTGTTTTATATTAGCACTAGCGGGCATAAGCCGGCGTTGGCCCGGAAAATCAGTGGCGTTACTCAGTTGGTGACCGCATTGGTTGAAAGGAAAATACCGCCAAACAAATCTAATTATCTATGCTATCCATGCATCCATCCGCATGCATTCCATCCATCGCATGCTCATTCCATGCTCATCCTCATTCCATCCCATCGCACCGCAGGCCCATCCCATCCCATCCGCGATATGCCCATCCCATCCGCATGCTCATATCCATGCCCATGCCATGCCATCCCGCATCGGACCTGCATCCCCATCCCGCACCGCCAATCGCCCCATCCACCATCGCCATTCCATGCCCCCTCCCGCCAGCCATCCCATCCCAAACAGTACAAAATAATAAGAAAATCAAAGATAAAAGACATTAAATATAAAAAAAAAAAGGAAGAAACATAAGGGAGAAAAAGGAAAAAAGAGAAAAATAAGTTTCCCAGCTGGGACTCGAAACCGGAATCCCAGTGTAGGAGACGGATGTTTTAGCGATTAGGCCACTGCGCCGTTAAGGGTATACCCATGGATTCACACGTACGTGATGTTAAACTGTACGCACCGCCATCGTAAATTTTAATGAATTTTTAACTTTTTAACTTTTTAAAATTTTTGTTTCAGCCAGAACCACCTTCCAGACGTGCTGATTCTGAAAATATCTTTAGTTTTCCTCTAGGCTGCGGAGTTATCTAGTTATGCGAGCACGAACTAATTCGGCTGAACAACTTTATATATATAGAAGGTAGGACAGCTTATCAATAATACCACAAAGAATCGTCAAAATAAAACGGGGAAAGTTTATTAATTCGACTAATACTGCAGCATGGTTTCAGAATTTCACCGTTGTACGCTCTCCTTCTTTATACGCTCTTGGTTATGTATCAACAATAACCTACCCACGCAAACTTCCATCATCGTAACTGAAATCTGAACATTAGTAACAGGTTCTTAATTTATTTCCCTCAATATAAAATGTAATTTTAACGTAAATATAAACATTAACAAAACGTCGTCAAATGTTTTGAAAGTTGTCGTTTAATGTCTTGCAGTCCAGCCGCGCTCCCGCACGGGCGTAAAACCATGATTTTTTCTCCATGCAGCCCGGACTGTGGAATGCCGTCACGACAGAGAGCATAGAAGACGTGCGCAGACTTGTCAACGTGTGGTGTCGCACGGACGTGTCGCACGGGGGCGTCACTGTCGTGCAGAAGGCCATACAGCAGGGCAGCGAGTCCATAGTCAAGCTCATTCAGCCAATTATGCCTTCCATGGTTAGACACGTACACATGATTGTTCATATATAAATCTCACTCACGCGATGATATATACTACTATTATTGACAAGATTGTTTACGTACGGTTGACTCGATCTACGCGTAATGATTCTTGGTTGATCGCTGATTGCTATCCAATACCGCATACAAGTGTATACGGGTTTTATTTTTTACGTTAATGGGCGGACAGGAGTGCTTTAACACTAGTCGTTATCTTATCATGGTTGCTGTCGTGTTCTGACATAATTATAAGGTTTCATGCGGTGCGTCGTCTTTCAGAAACTAGCACACGCTGTGCTCGCACAGGACCTGGGATCGGTGAAGTCGTTGTGCCAAGAAAAGGTTATTAACATGGGATTCAGAAATTTGGTGAGTTTCATGCCGCATGCGTTGGCCTCATGCAGGCAGCAGCAGTCCTCATGCAGGCAGCAGCAGTCCTCATGCAGGCAGCAGCAGTCCTCATGCAGGCAGCAGCAGTCCTCATGCAGGCAGCAGCAGTCCTCATAAAGAAAATTGCGCGATTTAAACGCAGTGCATTTAAGTGCGCTTGGACCGTATATTACATATTTGCATAGTCACCTTCCCCGGTTAATTATGTGAAAATAATTAAGTTAATTTATTTTTTTAATTTAATTAATTTAAGTTCGACTTAAACCGCGCATAAATCCCAACTCAATAACTATAGATTAAAGGAATTAACCTAATCAATGTAAATGCCAATTATATTTCAGCGGTAACCAGTACTGATGGCAACAGGCGGTGTGCATATGCATATCAGCAACGCACAAAACCCGGATTGCTATAGCTAATTAATACAGCTATTCGTTAATTAATTGTAATAACCTTGTAGGCATAGCTCTGTCTCAGGATAGGAATTGACATCGTAGTTTCATATAATTGATGTATCCCTACCCGGGTGTGTGTGGTGAAGGAATCTTTAGAAAGGCATTACTTTCGTGACTATGTAAATACGGCCAATATTCCCGATTAGTAGATGTAATCAGACCCACATACATCAATGTATTCATATTCCTGTCAGGGCTTTGTCGGATTAATGTATCATTAGCAAAGTAATATTGTAACATATCACCTAGTTCATATACGAATGTATTAACTGCATTATTAGAGCTCATCTTAATGTCATGGTAACGAATGCGTGTTTATTATATATGTCTAGGGTTTACCAAAAAGTCTTAAAAGTTTTGAAAAGTTTATAAATCACCAAAGGCGGTTAAGAATGATAAGAGTGAGTTGATTAAGGTAAGATTTGAGCCGTTAGCTATAAACGAGAGGACATGTGTTCACGATTTGAATTCGGGAAAGATGACAGTGATAAAACCATGGGCGTTTTCTCAAAGATCTCTGTCATTCAGTCTATGAGTTTGAGCCGTCTCTCCATTTCGAATCGCACGAGTTGAACACGTGGGCGTATAATACTCGTCATATCAAGAGCGTATAAAGAAGGAGAGCGTACAACGGTGAAATGCTGAAACCATGTTGCAGTATTAGTCGAACTAATAAACTTTCCCCGTTTTATTTTGATAATTCTTTGCAGTATTATTGATCAGCTGTCCTAGCTTGTTAATATAAAACAAACCGCATGCCCCTACGATGCCTCTACGCTGAGATAATGAGCGGTGAAAATCTGGTATTTTCGCCGAAACCCGACTCGAGATCAGTGTTTACTGCAACTGTCTCTCGTTTTGTGGACTGTATGTTGCTTCCGGTCGCCGCTGTGTAGCGCTGACTCGATACGTTATTACTACAGCGTTACTACATCCAGCGTAAGAGGCGGGTCATCACCATGGCGATAAATAACAAGACATTTTTGTGGAGTAATGGCTGCGTCAATGACTGGAAATGCGAGAAAAAATAGTAAAAGGAAAAGAAATTTCATTGTCAATGAATGACGGAAACACGCGAGGTTTGCTTAAGCTATCGCCAGAACGAGAGACAGTCGCAGCCACTACGTATCTCGAGTCGGTTTTCGGCAAAAATACCAGATTTTCACCGCTTATTATCTCAGCATAGAGGCATCGTAGGGACAAGCGGTTTGTTTTATATTAGCACTAGCGGGATACCCGGCGTTGCCCGGGGAAATCAGTGGCGTTACTCAGTTGGTGACCGCTTGGTTGAAAGGAAAATACCCAAACAAATCTAATTATCTATCTATCCATGCATCCATCCATGCATCCATCCATCCATCTCATTCCATGCCATCTCATTCCATGCCATCTCATTCCATCCCATCGCACCGCAGCCCATCCCATCCCATCCCATATCCCATCCCATCCCATCTCATTCCATCCCATCGCACCGCAGCCCATCCCATCCCATCCCATATCCCATCCCATCCCATCTCATTCCATCCCATCGCACCGCAGCCCATCCCATCCCATCCCATAT